AAAGAGAAGCCAATCGCTGCAACTCCCACAGCGCATTCTTTTTACATTTCTTTATCTCACTGTTTCGAGCTCCCTGCTTTCTTCATCCATGGCGGCGGCGGCGGCGGCGGCGGCGACTCTGCATCTCAACGCAAAGCCATCCAACTTTTTCTCCCCATCTATTAGCCTTTCAAAGACATCGCCCAAGCTTTTCCGAGTCACTTGCTCTGCTGGAACTTCTCCTTCTCGGCGTTTCAATATCGCTCTGCTTCCTGGCGATGGTGTTGGCCCCGAAGTTATTGCCGTTGCGAAGGATGTTCTCAATCTCGCTGCTTCGCTTGAAGGTCCCTCTAATCTGTCTTTGTTTCTCCATTTTCATTTTCATTTCTGTTGGGACGCTGTTGGAGTTGCGTGAAGAGAATTTATGATGCTTGTTTGATTTTGGTGTTGCTTTTGTGTTATATATGGTAGTGTTTGGGTCTATGTATTGTCGAAGGAATACTGGATTCTTTAATTTAGACGTTCAGTATATGGATTTCTTTGTAATTATGTGCACTGCAATCAGATTGAAGACAGTAATAGGGATTAATTGTTTGCTGAAACGAACTTAGGAAATTGCGAAGAGCTGAAGAAAGTTGAATGAGTTTCCTTTCTGCGTCATGTTGTAAAATTGTTGGGTGAGATATTTTTTCGTTTCTATTTTTGATGAGATTGGCTTGTTTCGTTAGGGATTGGATTTGATTACAAAGAGATGCCTGTGGGCGGAGCTGCACTTGACTTGACCGGGGTTCCATTGCCGGATGAGACGCTTATGGCAGCAAAGCAATCTGATGCTGTTCTATTTGGCGCAATTGGAGGGTATTTTTACTTATATCTTGTGCTAGTACATTGATTTCTTCCTTAAAAACTATTTTAACATCTCATGGCTGTTTCCTTTTATTAAGGTACAAATGGGACGACAATCCAAAACATTTGAAGCCAGAAACTGGGTTGCTTCAACTTCGGAAAGGTCTTGAAGTATTTGCTAATTTGCGACCTGCAACTGTCTTTCCTCAGGTAAATTTCTATGGTATCCTCCCCCACTATTATTTTTGCCATTAAATTACTTTATTTAGTACGAAAAAGGTCATTTGGGACTTGAAACCTTTGATCTCACGGAGGGTAGACAATGCCTCAACTATTAAGCTATGGTCATGCATGGCCAAGGCATTTTGGCATGAATATTCCATATAACACATCAAACAGGTGTTTCAGTTATTTGAAGACAGGGGAAAGTAGTGTGGTTTGAAGCCCTATATTAGCCTTGTTACATGTTAATGCTAGACCTAGCCTCATGGAAAGAGGGATAGATTCAAAATTATGAATTAATAATGACATGACCTAATATGTTGGCATATTTCAGTGTCAAGTTGGCAGAACTACTTTTCACTGCTTTGTATTATATTCAGTGGTCAGTTTGCTTATACAACTGTTACTTCTAAATGAAACATGAAAGCATATACCAGTAATAATTTTCATTGAGATGCATAAATTCGTGTGCAGTCCTGTGAGTTTGTGAGGATTCACCTGTCGATAAAAGGTTAAAGTCTTATATGTGGTACTCTATTGCCTATTGATTATTCCATTTCTTACCCTTTCAGTTGGTGAACGCTTCAACTTTGAAGAGAGAGGTTGCTGAAGGTGTTGATCTCATGGTCGTGAGGGAACTCACTGGAGGTAAAATTTTGCCCCTCCCATATGAAACGTGGTTGCATGCCTTGATTTCCCTCCATTTCTCAATTTTGGGGTTTTGAATAAAGGTGCCATGATTTCTTCCACCTGTATTAGGTATTTATTTTGGGCAACCAAGAGGTTTTAAAACCAGTGAAGATGGGGAAGAAATTGGATTTAATACTGAAGTGTATGCAGCACATGAGGTAATTTTTTTTTTCTTTCTATTTTTAATTCAACTTCCTCGTGAACTTGCATATAAAGTCTTCAACTATTTATTCTTATACCACATGCTCTTATCTTTGTTAAAAGAAAAAAAATTCAGATCAGCGTTCCTTCCTGATTCTTGCTTACTCAACAATTTCATGCTAATTGACGAATCCCTCCTTCAAAGTGATCATTCACGCATGCATGAAAAAGTTATTCCCTCCCCCACCCCCCTTCTCCTCTCTCTTTCTTTCCTTCCTCTTTTCTTTAACCATAAAAAGCATTGCTATTTTATATAAATCTTAAATTAGAAGATTTGTTGTTCTACATTTCATTTTTCTGGAAATTAAGATTACATGTTTAATTTGTCTTCATAACCCAAATAAGCCCCTTCTTATTTTATGAACTATATATGATCTTCTATGTCAGATTGATCGGGTTGCTCGAGTGGCATTTGAGAATGCTCGGAAGCGACAAGGAAGAGTTTGCTCTGTGGATAAAGCAAATGTGTTGGAGGTGCGTAAGTCTTTGATCAGTTTTTTTTCCCTTGAGAGAACAACTTCAGACCATTCATTTATTTTGCTAGAAACAAGTTCAAAGTTCAATTTTGAGAATGGCTGTCTAGTACAAATTTCTCGAAATTTTGCTGAAGAGTAATGATTAAGATCAAGCATTCAGTTTAGGATTTCCCTGTTTTATTTATATATTAATCTTACATTTCAGCTCAATATATTATGTACAGTCTATGATGTAGAAACCTTACTATAGAACTGACTATTGGGCAGGCATCAATGCTTTGGAGGAAAAGAGTGACAGCAATTGCTGCAGAATATCCTGATATCGAACTCTCGCACATGTACGTTGATAATGCTGCAATGCAGCTAATTCGTAATCCAAAGCAGGTCTGCATTGAAAGTAATCTTGTTGTCCATTTGCTGTGAATTTCATAACTCTTCTGATAGGAAAGTTGGGTTTTATTGGGACTGATTGTGGAAATTTGCAGTTTGATACAATTTTGACAAACAACATATTTGGTGATATTTTGTCGGATGCCGCTTCCATGATTACTGGAAGTATTGGGATGCTTCCATCTGCAAGTCTTCGTGAATCGGTAGTCAAAATCATTCTCTTGCATTGTTATTCTGGTTTTTTGAAAGAAGTTGTAGATTTATCTGGCGATCTAAATTTTTTACATTTCCCTTCTAATAAAATCGTTTGCACAGGGACCTGGACTTTTTGAACCTATACATGGTTCAGCTCCTGATATTGCTGGACAGGTTTGTGTTGTTAAAAGATCAAAATAATTTCCCAAGGATGCAAAGTGTTCTGCTATGAAATGACATGGTGCTGTCTGTAGGATAAGGCAAATCCATTGGCAACAGTTCTCAGTGCTGCTATGCTTCTTAAGTACGGCATTGGTGAAGAAAGTGCTGCCAAAAGAATTGAGGCTGCAGTTTTGGATACTCTAGAAAGAGGATTTAGAACCGGTGACATATACTCAGCTGGATGTGTACGTAACTTTTCTCTTGCTCTCTCTCTTTTACTTTATTGTAGTCATTGCATCCGGTAAAAGGTCGAGATATCGACCTAATCAAACTGATACCTACCAACAAGACCAGAACATCTGGTGGGGGAAAGGGTGAAAATCTTGACGAAACTGTCGTCCAGTAGTAATCAAATGACCTCAACCAAATATGTTTTCACTATCATGAAAGTTAATAATTTAGCTAGTTTTTGCGCCTAAACCAATCAAATTGAGTTGGATTGCAGAGTTGGGTTGTTTATATTACTTGTTTTACTGCCCTTGGGATTGTGTACAGTTTTTTGCTCCTAGCAAATAAAAGAAAGGCGTTTACATAAAAACGATAGGTTCCCTTACATCGAAGTACTTCGAGTTTTTTTTTTCTTTTCTTGGGTGTGGTGATTCGGGAGTTCTAAAATTTTAACTTCCGAGTTGACTACAAAAGATTAGAGGTTCGAATTTGTAACGACCCTAGCCCACCGTTAACAGATATTGTCCTCTTTGGGCTTTTCCTTCCGGACTTCCCCTCAAGGCTCTAAAACACATCTTAGTTACACAGCGGAACCGGTACTCATCTAGATACTGTCCTCTTTGGGCTTTCCTTTCTGGGCTTCTCTATTACGCGTCTGCTAGGAAAAGGTTTTCACCTCCTTTATCCTCTCGGCCCAACCAATGTGGCAGCATCTATTCCCCCTTGTATTCAACTTCAAATCCAAATTTACATTTTCATGGCAATTGTAATACATTCTTATACCCAGTTCCTCATCTCTTCCTCCCTTATACTTTTAATAACTATTATCTCTAATTCCTCTGCTTGGTCATCCTAAGATTTGCTTGACTTCACAGAAACTAGTGGGCTGCAAGGCGATGGGCGAGGAACTATTAAAGTCGATCGAGTCCCATAAACTCGCTACAGTTTGAGTCGAAAACGTTGAGGGATCCTACACTCGCCTCTCTTTCAGTTTCTTTTCAAATGCGCACTAATAACGGTTTCAACTCACAGTTCGGGTGCTATTCCACAATTTGGTTGCATTTTGTATGCTTGGCATCTGTATGAACAAGTTGAGTTTATGGTGTCTTTCATTTTTTCAGAACTATAACTCTCTATCGTTTCAGGTAGGAAGCATTTTGAGAATACTCTGCATGAATTATTCACAGACAAATTTGCTTCTTCTTTCCCAATTTTCTATTCCCACTGTATAATTTTTTAACACAAACAAAGGTTTAGTTCTTACAATAGTTTTTAAACTCAATTTTGTTTCTATTTGGTTTCCATATTTTTAAAACTAATACCCTTCGCTTAATATTTGAATTTCAAAGGTCAATTTTTAATTTAGTGTTTTGGGCACTGAACTTAAAAAATTAATATATATATTTAATATATTACAAACTTAAATTAATATATTTATCAAAAACTTATTACACAGAATATATGTTAATTAGTGTTGAAAAATTATCCATAGATTAAATTATAATTATAGGAAACAAAAGTTTAAATTTTACCTAACAATTAAAGAAAACAATTCAAAATATATTATTCTCGGGTGACCCGACCCGGCTGTGCTGGCCAGCTTCCGTAGGCTCATTTCTGAAACCCTAGTCACCTTCTTCCTCTTGTCTATCAAAACCTCACTCCAAACCTTCTTCAGTTCCTCTTCCGATGGCGCTTCAACTCAGCCTCAGACCCAAACACCCTAAAACTCTCACCAATCCTTCTCTCATCCACCTCTTCTCCTCCAATTCCTCCGCCCCATCTGATCCGAATGACGAGCCCACCGATAGTTCTTCCTCCGCCGACACTGGCTCAGCTCAGTCTCCCATGTCCTCTTACTTCAGCGATGTTAAAGCTCGCCTCAAACAGCAGCAGCAATCCCCTTCTCCATCGAGTGCTAGAAAGCCTTCGTATCCATTCACTTCTGTCCCGAATCGATCGAGTTCTCCGGCTTCGAAAGCCGCTTCACTCGAAGAAATCAGAAAGAATCTCTCTGAGTTTCGCAGTCGATCGTCTGTGCCTCCTCCCTCCGAGCTTGGCCCTACACCATCTTCAGCTTCTTCGTCCTGGCAGCGTGGTATCTCGTTTCAAGAGCTTTACAAGAGGAATGCGATGAGGAAGGGCGATGATGGTAGTGCACCTGAAAGTGGCCGTAGCGGCATGCTGTCGTTCGATTCTATTCGGGAGAGCTTGCGGCAGGTGAGTTCATCGAAGGCGATGCAAAATGAACGGAAGAGTGGGGATTCAATGTCGTTATCGGCATTTAAGAACAGCTTGAAATTGAAACCGATGGACCCGGCGTCGACATCGGTGTTTGGTGGAACAGAGAGGTTGCCTGCGTCGGTTTTCGGGAAGGAGATGATGGACAGAAAACAAGGGGAGAACGAGGGAATGAAGACTGAGTTTGTGAAGATGTATAGCCATGGGGAATTGGGGACCAAGTTGAGAGCTCTGAGGCCAGAAAAAGAAAAAGGGAAGAATTGGTTTTCATTGACGGAGTTGAATGAGAGGTTGATGAAGCTAAGGACAATGGAGGAGAAGGAAACCGAGTCGAAAATTGGGGGGATTTCATTCCAGGATTTGAGGGAGAGCTTGGTGAAGATGAAGATGTCTGATGATGAAAAGGCAAAGAAAACGACAAGTGAGTAAACAAATTCATGCACAGTTGGGAATTACAACTAGTTTTCTTTGAAATTGTTAAAAGAAATTTGCATATGTTCTTGAAACTTGGAAGAGAAAGTGGACTGAAAATCTTGCAAAATAAATAGCCATTTAAACGCTGGAACGGTAAAAGGGAAGAATTGAAGCCATTTTAAGTGCATTATTTCTTTAGCCGGTCATGTAGAGATTATGAACCATTAAGGGCTGTTTTTAGATGCTTTTCTAATTAAGAGTTGAACAATTGGAGAGCGTGAGCTCAAGGAAAGGTGGCTACTTGGCTAAGATTTAATATTAGGGTCAGATTGTAACTTTATGAGAATAGTCAAAGTGCACTCAAGCTGGCATGAACACTCCCAAATATTAGAAAAAAACGATTGAGATAATATAATCTTCACATGTTTGTATATTATGAAGTTTCTTTGTTGGAGCTATTCATTAGAACACTTTTTCTAGAGTCATTGAAAGTTTGAAATTGCTTCATTTTCGGCTCCCAGTCCAGCGGCTCGATATCTTGGGTCAGCTAGGTCGAACACCAAACCATATGCTACAACCTCCTCAGGAACATCTTGTTGAAAAGGTACGTGATTTCAACCAAGTATTGTTAATTAGTTTTAGCGTTTCTTTTTCCATTAACAATTTAAAACTATCATAGCCCTTGAAAGTTATGGTTGCCGAACATCATGACCACACATATTTTCCTGTTCTCTTATCGTTGATGAAAATATTGATTTTTTCTTGTTCCATTCTCCAATTCATCTAAGGTAATGGTATTCCTGATTTTCCTTAATTGTTAAAATACAAGCAAGCTCCTGATTCTCATTTTTAAAGTTGCATTCATAGTTTCACTCTGCAGTTTCTTGTGAAAGTTGAGCTACTTGATTTTGATTTGTCATTTACTCGAATCAGTCATTTTGTGCAGTATTTCCATCCGGATAACATGTCGTCTGCTGAAAAGCTGAAAATCGAGTTAGCAAAAGTCAGAGAAGAATTTAAAATGTCGGAGTCAGACTGTGGATCTGCTCGTGTTCAAGGTAAATCTTTCTTTTCCCCCTTTGTTTTTGCGAGTAATTTGACAGACATGAGACCAGGAGGTTGTTAAGGCTAAAGCAGCTGAATATTTCAAAGTAAAGATTTTGACATCCTTTTTGTTCTTATGATGCTTAATTTCGTTCTCGGTGTCCTCTGCAGTTGCGCAACTTACCACTAAAATCAATCATCTAACTGCTGTCTTGCACAAGAAGGTGAATGCAACCGTATTTTCCTTTCATCCACTCTCCATTTTAAGTTAATATGTACGCTTATCTTGATTCCATTTCATCTCGTATCGAATTTTCATTTCTAGTATTAGGAACCATACCCGTTCTCCCACATGTTTGCATTTTGAATTTGAATCTGTGTTATCAAAAGTGTTGCTGTAAATACACCATATGGGTTCAAATTTTTAGATGGTCTCTGTAGTTAATATTATATATCCATGGTAAATGTGATTCTCAGGATAAGCATTCTAAGAAAGGTCTTCTTGCAATGGTGCAACTGAGAAAAAAGCTACTGAAGTATCTTCGGCGAACCGACTGGGAATCCTACTGTATGGTTCTTAACAAACTCGGTTTTCGAGACAACCCAGATTACAAGAACTGAAGCACAGGTGGTCTCCGTTCTTCTCTTACATGCACTGAAATCGCTTTCCTGAGGTTTGCACTCAGTTTTGTTGGAGAGAGTTCTGTGGAATTACATTAGTTTCATTCATATCATCATATGATATCTATCATGAAGTGAGAGGCTTCTGATTGTTGGCATTGGAAGCTTGGAGATAGACAGTTCATTGATAATGGGAAGTGTAGAATCAATCTCGCAAGTTTTTTTGATTTCAATAGATTGTATTAGCAAATCCTGAGGTGATGTTGTACTGTTTTTGAATTCATTCGTTCTTTAGCTGCAAAAAATGGATTGCCCTGTTCTTGCTGAAATAATGGAGTTGAAAGTGTTGGATGATGAAAGTCCCACATCGGCTAATTTAGAGAATGATCATGGGTTTATAAGTGAGGAATACTAACTCCATTGGTATGAGGCTTTTTGAGAAGCCCAAAGCAAAGCCATGAGAGCTTATGCTCAAAGTGGATAATATCATATCATTGTGGAGAGTCGTGTTCGTCTAACATGGTATAAGAGCCATGTTCTAAACTTAGTTGTGCCAATAGATTGGCAAATCTTCGAATGTCGAACAAAGGACTCCAAAAAGAAAAAAGGAGTCAAGCCTCCTCGAAGGTACGAAGGCAGTAAAAAATGACTAAGATTCCAAAGGAGTTGAGCCTCGATTAAGAGGATGGGGAGGTGTTGGATGATGAAGGTCCCACATCAGCTAATTTAGAGAATAATCATGGGTTTATAAGTGAGGAATGTTAACTCCGTTGGTACGAGATACTTTGGGAAGAATGTTAACTCCGTTGGTACGAGATACTTTGGGAAGCCCAAAGCAAAGCCATGAAAGCCATGAAAGTTTATGCTTAAATGGACAATATCATACAATTGTAGAGAGTCGTGTTCGTCTAACAGAAAGTACTGTGGCTGTGAAACAGTTTATACATTTCCATATTTATATATTTTACACTGAAAACCTTCTTCCTTTTCCAGATTATTTTTTTTTTCTTTTCAATTCTTTTTTCTTCGCAGATATTTTATTTATTTATTTAATTCTTTATTATCTCATCATTGATTAAAGTTTACTATACCTCCAATGATATTGAAAGTGATATAGTTTTATTTTAGTGAGAACTTTAGAAAAAAAATAAAAAAAATAAAAAAAGTATGATAAATAAAGCCTTTATTTTGGCTTTTAGAATTTTACCAAATTATTAATATTTTAAATAAATAAAGTATTTCAACTAGTGGTTAATTGTTTTATTTTTATTAAATCAAATCATCAAAACTAATTATAACTAATTAAATTTCCATTTATATACGTTTTTAAGTTTATTTTACAATCAATTTTAATAATTAATAAAATCGTATAAACTTTCATGTATAATGTATATTTCAAAAATACGGTGGAATAAATTATATTAAACAGATATATGAATTTAATATATATTAAAAAAATTATAATTGAATTATTTTAATTAAATAATTAGTTTTATTTAATTTTAGTAAATCAAGTATATTTAAATTAAAAGTATAAATAAAAATAAAAAATAAAACCCATGCTTTTCCCAAACCTCCATAGGGTTTGGCGCCATTTCATATTGGCCGAAGCAGTCTCTCCCGCGCTTTCTCATTTACTCCCTTTCCCTCGATCTGCCCTATTTTCTAAGCTTTCCACTGAACCTACGCCGTTCGATCTGCCACGAGAAATTCCTTCTCCATCGTCTTCGTCGCTGTGCTGTTGCCGCTTTATCATCTCTAAGGTACGCCTTCCTTCCTCCTCCTCCTCCTCAAGTTTTAGGTTTTCTTTGGTTTTGAGATAAACCTGTGACGAAGACGGCTGTTCTGTATTCGTGAACCTATTAACTTCTTGTTATGAATTTCCGGAAACTTAAAAACCTAGGCTGTTACTTGAGATTGTCCCTCCCTCTCGCTTTCGGCGTGCCATGATTTTTTTTAGGTTTGCGTCATATTGGTTATACGGAAAAGCGAGAGAGTTATTTTGAACTGCGAAACTCACAGTTCCTCTCAATGGCAGGTAAAGCGCTGTTTAGTGCTGTTTGCATCTGCGGGGGTTACGAGTTCTGTTAGTGGTAGTTGATTACTTGGGGATAAAGCTTTCTTTGTGCATACAATTTTACGCAGTTACAAGTTCAGGACATGTTCAATGCTTGCTTCCACAATCTATAGGCCATTGTAAGATTAATTTCTTGTTTTACCTGTGATTCGTGATGTTTAATTTTGGATAATCATTATTATATATTTGTTTTTTGTGAACTATGACGGGAGGATTAGGGTTAGGAATACACTTGATTTTTTTCAATGGTGCAATGCATTTTTTAATATCAAATATGCATTAGATAGTTCTGCTTTAGTCACGGTGATTAATATAGAAGACCTCTCTGATGTTTGTTTGTTTGTCTTTGTCTTTGTTTTTTGTTTTTTGTTTTTTTTCTTGTTTTTTTGTTTTAATTTTTAGGAGTTTTGAAGCAGTAATAGCGAGAAAATCCTCAAGTTTTATACTGAAAGTTTCTTCTAAGGCTTTTATCCGGAATATCCAAATGGGAACGAATCAGAACTCTATACTACAAGGTTGCAACAGTAACTCTAGAGGAGCTTTGGTGGTTCTTGAAGGTTTAGACCGGTGTGGGAAGACTACACAGTCCAGTAGATTAGTCCAGTACTTAGAAGGACTTGGGCATTCTGCCGAACTCTGGCGGTTTCCTGACAGAACTACAAGTGTTGGACAGATGATATCTTCTTATCTTTCAAACAAATCACAGCTGGATGACCACACGATACATCTTCTTTTCAGTGCTAACCGATGGGAAAAAAGGTTTGTTAATTTTTCTTAATACAACTTGCATTTTAGTCTCTTAGATTGATATATTTTCAGTTCCTAACTAGTGATTGAGCTTTCTATGCTGTTAACAAGTAGCAAGCTTCAAAATGAAAAATTGTGAACTGGGTTTTAGAAGTTGCAAGCAAATAGTTGTGAACTTGCGACCCAAACCTTTTTATATCCTCATCTTCTTAGATAAAGAATAATTTATATCTGTCCCAAAAGCATGTGATTTGTGTTTGATTACTGTAATGCCATGCAGATCATTAATGGAAACTAAATTGAAGAGTGGAACCACTCTTATTGTCGATCGGTATTCATATTCAGGGGTGGCCTTTTCATCTGCCAAAGGACTTGGCATTGAATGGTGTAAGGTAAAAGTACAAATAAGCGATGTTACGTGACATGTTTTGTAATTATTGACTTTTCATTTCTTCTTTGCGGTGTCTAAGACACATAGATTCTTTTGTAACTTTCTTAGCCTTAACCCTCCATGATTAGTAGGCTTTGCTTCATTAGTTTTTGGTAGAGGGTCTTCTCATCCCCCTGCGCCTAAGATGTTTTGGTATAGTAATATATTCCCATAGTTTCTTGTAAAAAAAAAATGAAAAGAAAAACGTTGATGCTATGTTGTCCACTGCAGGCGCCGGAGGTTGGCTTGCTAGCTCCAGATCTAGTTCTGTACCTAAACATATCTCCAGAGGTTGGTTAAATTATTATATCATCTTTTTTCTGAAATAATTTTAAATGCATTTATTTGGATGGTTTACCATAATTCACCCTTTCCAACTAGTAAATGAAACGAAGCTATATACACACATATATACATATTGACATTTTTGTATTGTGACTCTTCAAGTCCTTGCTCAGATAGGAACGTTCAACCACGTCCTTGAAGATCATAGAAGCAATTGTATATTTGTATTAGACTTTTCTATGGAATTCAATCAATTGTATTGTTTTAGCATACAATAAGCCGTAGTTTAAGTAGAGCATGTGTTATTACGGACTTATTTTGAAGTTTTTTATTATGCCATTGGTGACAATGGACTTATAAGTATAATAAATTAAAATCAAAAGAATTGTGTCCTTTGTGCAATCTAAGGATAACTATTTTCGTGACTTTATCTAGAAGTACCGCCATTTTTTATCTTAATGATGGAAATGCTTTGATTTGCAACCCCCACCAACAAGACAAATTATCAACTGAAAAACTTCAATCTATGTTATGATTGCTTAATGAATAAGGAGATATGTTGAATGATCAGAAAGCATCAGAAAGAGGAGGATATGGATGTGAGAGATATGAGCAGCTTGAGTTCCAGAGCAAAGTTGCCCAATACTATCAAGTTCTGCATGATTCTTCTTGGAAGGTAACTTGCTTTCTTTAGTCTTGGAAAATTGACAGACTTTATGCATTAGGAATTGCCTTGGGCTTTCGCGTTGGTCATAGTTGAAGCTGACTCTTCATATTTTTTTGGTTAATGAATACTTTTAGTCCTCATGCTTTAGGTTGCACAGTTTAGTTCCTATAGGCTAAGTTTGAAATTTGTAATAATTTGGGCTCGTAACTCTAGCATAGAAACATTCAGTCATTTATTTTGAGATAGTTAAAAATTAGTCCCTATACTTCAGATTTGTTACCATTTGATCCCTCATTTAATTATGTAACAACTTAGTCTTCATAATTTATAAAAAATGTGGTCCTTCACCAATTTTATGATCCAAGTAGGAAAGAAAATCTATTAACAATATTTTTTCACATTAGAGACTAAATTATTACAAATGAATGATGGATAAATTGTCACATAATTAAGTTTAATGATTAAATTTGTCGAGAATTGTAAGTATAGAAACTAAATCATTATATAATAAAGTTTAGTGACAAACCTTCATGCAAGTTGAAAGAGTGATGTTTAGCTTTTTTTTTTTTAAAAAAAAAAGAGGATTGACCGACTGCATTTTGGATTTTTCTTTAATTGCAGGTTATTGATGCTTGCCAACCCATGGAAGATATTGAGAAACAACTACAAGAGATGGTTCTGGAATGTGTCAAGAAATGCCACAATGGGGAACCGCTTTCCCAGCTTTGGTTAAGTTAATGCATTTCTGAAGCTTCAAGTTTTTTTTTTCCCGAGTGTATTTATATTCGACATGTTGAGACCCTGAGGACTTGTCTTGTGTTTTATGTTTCTTAAGTGTAATTTGGATTTCTTTTTACAAAGTTTTAATTTTCAAGCTTTGACCTTATGAATCAGTATGTGAATTAATTGTTAGGAAAGAAAAGTTCAACCATGACACTTGAGAATACAGAGGATATTCCATTTTCTAATTATTAACTAAAGAAAGATCAATTCATTCTAGTTTTGAACATTTTGAGAGGTTAGAGATTTCTATAGCAAAATAATAGTGTTATCTAGTCCATATGTAGAAGTTTTATGCTTTATATATTTCCATCCATAATGTAATCACCATGGTTACAAACGCCTGAAGTCAAACATTACATAGAACTTTTGAAATAGTAAATAACTGTTATGATCAACTAGTTGATGGCTGCTAGATATTGCATTCATAAAGGATTCAGCTCTTTAGATGGTGATGGAATCATGGAGTTGTGAAGGGCGGTTCAGGTGGCAGGGGCACTAATGGTTCATTGAAACCGGTATCTGGTGCTGGTGGTGCAGACACAAAGGGAAATGGATCCTGAGGAATATCTGGAACTTCAGGAACCAGGGGAGGTGGAAGAAAAATAATGGGACGAAACGTGAAAGGCGATGGTTCGGTCGGGATTGATACCAGTGGTGGAGGTAATATAGGGATGAACGGTGGTTGATCTGGTGTGAAATCAAACGGAGGTGGCAGATCAGGCACCAGTGGAGGTAGTGAAAATTCTGGCAGAGGTGGTGAGAAGGTTATTAAAGGTGCTGGATTAGAAAACAGTGGTGGTGGTGAAGGAACCAGAGGTGGTGGAAACCAGGTTGAAGGTGTTGGAGTAGATAGTAATGGCGGTGGTGGTGATGGAACCAAGGGAGGTGGAACCATTTCCGAAGGGACCGGAGTAGATAGTAACGGCGGCGGCGGTGATGGAACCAAGGGAGGTGGGGGAGATGAAGGAGGTGGAGATGGAGTATCAGGTGAAGCCAAAGGTGGCTGCTGATAAACTGGAGGAGATGGCTGCTGATAAACTGGAGGAGATGGCTGCTGATAAACTGGAGGAGCTGGCTGCTGATAAACTGGAGGAGCTGGCTGCTGATAAACTGGAGGAGGGGAAGAAACTAAGGGGGCTGGCTGGTGCTGATAAACTGGAGGAGGGGAAGAAACTAAAGGGGGCAGAGAAGGCCTTGAGGGTGACAAAAATGGGTTATCTGAAGGGGAGATTGGGAAAGGCCACTGGCCACAGGTTCCAAACAAGTATCGGTAAAAAGGATCACAGTTGGATCCTCTGCTTCTGGGTTTGCTTCTGCTTCTGCTTCTGGGTTTGCTTCTCTTTTCTTCATCTTTCCACCCTTTTTTTTCATGTTGATTCTGCTTTTGTTCAGTATCTGCTTCTACAGGTACTTGTTGAGAGATCAGCAGCAGAGCTAAAAGTGCTGCTATCACTACGGTAAGCTTCATTTATGTTTCTTCGGTAATAATCTTGTATGCATTCTGGTGATGTTATATGTTCCAAGTAGAAAAAGGGGCTTATATAGAATAGAATAGAATAGCCTGGTTTGTTTTGTTTCGACCATGGCATGCCTTGAAGTTCGCAATTACAACGTTGATTTCTATACCATTTATGTTTTGACTTCTTGAGTTTCAAAACAGCACAACTCTGATATTTATTAATGCTGCAGCAGCACAGTGAATTAATAGACATGGCTCACAATAGTCACTGCTTGCTACCTTCAAAATTGCGACTTCCAATGCTAATTTATGCAAGTATTCTCTCTCTGAGTAGTTGAATGTTGAAGCCAAAAATTTATGGATAAAATACATTTTTATTTTTGGTGTATTTGAATTTGATTCCAGTTGTTTCCTACGGTTTGAAATTAATTTTTAATTGGTCTCTAGAATTTGAAATTAGTTTCTAGTTTATGAAAGATAAAAATTTTCTTTCATTTTCAGTTTAGATTGGTCCTTAGAATTAGAATTAGAATTTGAATTCTAATTTTCTTTCGTTTTCAATTTACATGAACAAACTTGAATAAATCACAAACTAACGATTAATCCTATGACAGATCATAGAAAACGACGATACCTTGCTTGAAAATCTGTCCTCTAAGAACCTCCTCTGCAAATACTCCATGTCCTCTGCCTTCTCAAGCTGGCTGTGCAGCTATGGCGCCAAGTCTAAGCTCGTCAGAATTGTCCATCCCAGCGGTCACATAGAGCTCCACGACAGTCCCATCTGGGCGGCGGAGATCATGCTCCGAAACCCTGAATTCTCCCTCACTCACTCCCAATCAGCTAATCATCCATGGGCCATTGTCTCACCGGACACGACGCTCATGCTGTGCTGCAAATACGACCTCTTACCGGAAAACAGCGTGGGAAACCCCCAGAAGATGAAGGAAAATGAAGGTTTGGAATCGGATTGTTTGAATGACGGAAAGTGTATGATGTGTTTTGTTCCAAAGGAAAAGGGCGAGAGAACTGTGAGGTGGGAAAGTGGTGATGATTTGAAGGGGAATGATAAAAGAGGGATATTTTTGCAAAATGGGAACATTAGAGGGTCTCCCAAGAGACCATTCGGGTCATCTGATAATTGGGAACCAAATTTGAATAGCATCTCTGAAGAATATTAGAAGTTTGTATTTTGTTTTCCTAGGATTGGATCGAGTTTGGTTAGTTTATTATAATGATGAATCCATAGTTGGTCGATTATGTTAATATGAATGATTATAAATATAGTGTAATATAGAAAATATCAATATATTCATGATGCTTAATATGAATGATTATAAATATAGAAAATATCAATATATTCATGATAGAATAATTCATGATGCTTAATATGAATTTGATTATTGTTGATGCTATGTTATAAGATCAAGGACTACAAAACTTACGTGCTTGGATTCTTTATGTTCAATTCTAGGTGATGTTCCTGATATGTGAAGTTTTCTATTAGAAATATCTAGAGATTGATTTTGTCATCCAATCTTGAATTTATATCCAGGTAATTTTTAGGTTTTTTTAAGTACTTCTAATGTTTTATAGATTACATTTAGTGTTTTTTCTAGGTTTGGAAAAGTGCGGATTTTCAAGGGAATCTTATGATATATTGGGAATTTCTCATGATAATCATCCACGTCTAAAGCGTATCTTAATGCCTGAAAGTTGGGTAGGATGACTCTTACATAAGGATTATATTGCCCCCAATTTTTATGAAATACAAGATGCTCATTAAATAATACGAAACGAATCTTCACTTCGACAACTCAAGATATTCAAATACATTTCTATGTTCTCTTATAGATATAGCATAGTAATTGAAGTCTCATTCATCTTATTATTATTGATTAAAAATATAAATAAAAAAATATAATTAGAGATTTGGTGAGATCATCAAATTTTTAAGACTTATTTTGGATGAGCCAAGCTAATAGGATGAACTAAATGAGTTTGTTATATAAACGTATATGTATATATAAACGCTGCTTTAGAAAAAAATATTAGAATGTGTTGACGCAATATTAATTTAAATTTTAATGGTTTAGTTGAAGATAATATAAGATTCAAATGGACTTAGGACAAAAATACTACTTTTATTTTACAAATAATGGAATAATAACACCCACACCACTTGTGTGGGGTTAGCACCAGCGTCGGATTGCAATCACAAATCACCCATGCTGGCGACTTATTATCACCCTAACTTCATACTACAAAAATCAAACAGCAAGACACAGCCTAACATAAAAACTAATAATAATAAGTTTCATTTGTTTTTTTTTTTCTGATTTCTGTGTCTCGCTGCTCTCGCCGGCGGCCACTTTTCCGGCACCTGAAAATCCTCTCTCTGTCTTCATCTTCAAACAGTATAGTGTTGTTGGATTGTTTCAATGTCCAATCCCTTTAGCTTCACCACCGATTCAACATGCCCCTTCAATGTATGAAGCTCCCTCAACCTTGCAACCTCAGCACGCTTCATGGCTTGCTCTGCGATTTCAGACAACTCCCTGTAATTGCTTTTGTCGTTGAAGAGCTCTGACATTTCGGGAGGCTGCAGGCCGTGAAGGGTACGTTGAGCTGCAGCCCATTGAGCCTCTCTCTCCCCAATGCCATAATCCTTCTTTGATGTGAAAGCAATCTGAAATGCATGTGAGAGCAATGAGCGAGAGTTCTTTAAAAGTGCTTTTTGTTTTTTGTAGTCCTTTTTACGTACCTTGTTTTGGAGCATATTGTCCCAAGCCTTGCCGCTCAATGCATATCGAGTGGCGAACTTGAGAACGTCCAGAGGAATGTAGAAGACTATGCTGTAGATCCAGATCACTCCAGCCCATCCCCATCCAATCCCTTTCATAACCGCAAAATCCCAGTTGGCATACACAGCAATGAGCGTAGCCACCTTGACAACAAATAATATAAATCCATTTTAGAAGGAAATAACATTACATAACCAAGCTAATGGGTCACGCCTCTTACCAGCTGTGCCACGAAGAATGCAAACACGAGGAGTAGACCAGGGCGTTCAATAAATGACCAGCTTCGAGATCTTGTGACGAAAATGAGTGCCTGACTGACTGTGCTAACTTGAAGATAGACAGCTGCTGTGAGCTCAGCCCTATTTTCTCTGATGGAATGGACACCAAATTTATCCTGCACGGTAATAAGAACAAGGATAAGCACCAGGATGCTAAAAAGTTTCTGGGTTAGTGATTACTTGAAATTTTCTTACCCCAAAGAAATCAGTAGTGTGGATGATCCAGAAGAAAACAACAGTCATAACGGCCAAGTAGGAGCCCAAAACAACTCCAGTTGCAAAGATCTCGCGGAGCTTCCATGAATCAGGAAGAGGGGAAGGTTTTACTCTGTCTTTAGAGATGGTCATGATGGTACCATCATTGAGAATGGCTATGACAAGAACCATGAAAGGGGAGAAGTCAAATTTCCAAATGAGTGCAATAAGCATAAAGCCCAACACAATACGGATGGTGATTGAAACTGCGTAGATGGTGTAGTTCTTCATTCTCTGGAATATGGCTCTGCTTGTTAAAACAGCACTGACAATCACGCTCAGTCCTGGCTCTGTCAAGACTATATCAGAAGCACTTCTTGCCGCATCAGTTGCATCAGCCACTGCAATTCCTATGTCTGCCTTCTTCAATGCTGGAGCATCATTCACACCATCTCCTGTCATCCCACAGATATGCTTCCTCTCTTGAAGTCTCCTCACAATTTCATATTTATGCTCTGCATTCAACAACAGCCATTCAGTATGCAATGGCACAAAAAAGCTATGTTATAAGAACTTTACATCAATCTAATCATCCTACTACTCACCGGGGAAGACTCCTGCAAATCCGTCAGCCTTCTCAATAAGCTCATCAACAGGCAAAGAAGCAATTGATTCGTCCATGCTTTGTCCAAGGAGGGAGGAAGATGGATACATGTTTGTGCCCATTCCAAGCCTGCGCCCAGTTTCCTTACCAATGGCCAGTTGGTCACCGGTGATCATCTTAACGTTGACACCAAGATTAAGTGCCCTTCGGATTGTCTCTGCACTGTCATGCCTCGGAGGGTCAAAGAGAGGCAAGAGACCAACAAATTGCCACGGTCCTCCAGCACCATCTTTGGATTTTTCTGGAACGGTCTGTACCAACGAGGAGATTTCGTCATAATCAAGCTCATTACATAAAAGTCTTTTGCTTAGTCATATTTCAATTTTGAAGATAAACTAGACAACTACCTGTCTGCCAACAGCAAGAGAACGAAGACCACGGTCTGCAAATTTGTCGATGATTGAATGAGCCTTCTTCTTGATATCTTCCCGGAGGTCACAGAGCTCGATAATCTGTCCAGATTCCAAATATGTAAATGTGAAGTAGAGCTATAGAAAGACAATGCATAAGTTTCAGTAGTTCCACAACCTGCTCCGGTGCTCCTTTACTCACTCTATGCCAATTGCCATCGCTATCAATATATGTAATAGCTGTACGCTTGTCTACAGGGTTAAAGGGCAGAAAATGGACCTCTTTAATGCCTTCTCTGGCCTGTGAGGTAATCAGAGAGAAGTTTAACACATTAGAATGTCATCTATGAAAACATCAAAGGCCATGGAAAAGGCAGATACTATTTGCTGTATAATTTAAAGAATATACCTCCTTAGGATCGCCTAGCATGCCAACAATGCAAGCATCAATAGCATCCTGATTCTCAACCCTGGAAGCTCTAGCACCAAGCAAAATTACAGCATCTTTGTCGACATCTCTAACGAACACCTCAATCATGGATTTGTCAACTGTAAGCTTGTTGAGAGTTAGAGTTCCAGTCTTATCACTGCAGAGTACATCCATTCCAGCCATCTCTTCAATGGCCGTCATTCTTTTTGTAATAGCACCCTGCTGGGATAACCTATGAGAACCAATGGCCATTGTGACCGACAACACTGTTGGCATGGCAATTGGAATCCCCCCAATGAGAAGCACCAAGAGATTGTTAATCCCATCTCTATATCGACGATGTTGAATTGGATACATCACTACTATCTCTATCGCCATCCCCACAGCAATCGAGCAAATACAGAAGTTTCCAATGGCAGTCAACACCTGTATACAATAGAATTGAATACAAAATGACAGCCATATAATCATTAGTTAAACCTTTCATTTCTCTGACTGTGAAAGAGAACGTGAAACCTTTTTGCACATTACCTTTTGGAAGTGTCCCACTTGATTTGTGCTATCAACCAAATGAGCAGCCTTTCCAAAGAAGGTGTGGACGCCAGTAGCAATTACAACAGCCTCGATCTCACCTTGCTTGACGGTGGAACCAGAAAACACTTCATCACCAGCGCACCTTGTAACTGGCAAAGACTCCCCGGTAAGTGCTGACTGATCAATCTTGAGAGGATCACCGTCCAACAAACGGGCATCTGCTGGAATGATATCTCCCAACTTAATGCTGATAACATCTCCCGGAACTAAGATTGCAGCCTCCTCCTCACACCATCTTCCATCACGAAGGACCTTGGTTTTTGGTGCAAGACCGGCCATGAGTGCAGCTGCAGCATTGCCTGCATTGTTTTCCTCTATAAAGCTGATTGTGGAATTGATAATAAGCAGTGCAGTAATACCCACAAAGTCCTGCCAATCCGGTGGTTGGCCCTGGAATTTTATCCATTGAAATCATATCAGTGTCTCGGCAAGAACTTTCATTTACAGTTTGAAAACAGAGGGAAAGAGAAAAACGTTACCCCTCCATTGGCAAGAACAATGGCCATGATAGCTGCAGCTTCCATAACCCATGAAAGTGGATTCCACATAAAACCAAGAAACTTCAGAAATTTATTTTCCTGTTTGTGAAGAAGAGTTTAAAGCCTTAGATTTTCATTTTCATTGAAGCTAAAAGTGTTGTTCTCAGTCATAAGAGACCTTTTTCTCTTCAAGCTTATTTGGGCCGAAGAGCTGAAGCCTCTGGCGCCCCTCCTCTGAGGACAAACCATCTCGGGAGCATTTCAATTGCTCGAACACTTCCTGAACTGGTATGCGCTCCTGCAAATCAAACAGTAAAAAATATAAGTGGATTGAAAATAACTGACATGTTATTTTGATTAATCATGAAAACACAGTTGATTAAGCCACACTATTTTGAAATCATAGTATAAAATTATGTTATTTCCACTAGTTTCTCTATTATTTTATTGGATTATCCATTAATATTCAAATTTACATTAACAAAAATAGCTTATAATTTGGCCTTCCAATAAGCAATATTACAGAAAACAACCGAAGTACTAATCACTACCAGATCAACGAAGTTTCGAAAATGTTTTCAATCGAAACAGAGTGAGAAATGCATCGCCAAGCACAGAAAAAAAAAAAATTAACCAAAAACTTCATTACCGAAAACAGAAACGTAAAGAAGATCAGAAGAACTTACAAGATCAATGTTCTCATTCTTAATCTCCTCCAAGCTGATATCGGTCATTTTCAACACTATATAGAATACCACAGAAGAATATGTTTGTATATATATATATGATTATACAAAAAAAAAAAAAAAAAAAAAAAAAAAAAAAAAAAAAAAAAAAAAAAAAAAAAAAAATAATGGCGAAATCTTTTTCAGTTTCCTATAATCACAGAGTAGTAAAGCATCTTCAGGTTCCTTCAAATCGTGGATCGAAGGGGAAATAGTAAAATATTTTTTTGTTTTTTCTTTGTTATTGTGGAGTGATGAGGAGCTTTCTGCTTTTATAGGGAAGTTTTGGAGCATCTTCAACTGTAATGTATGAAAGAGCGAGTCTCTTGCTTCTCCTCAACCCTCGCTCGTTCAGAGGTTACTGAGATCCCGCCATTACTGCAACTTTCTGTTTTCCTCCCGTCCTTAAATTTACATTTTTGCCCTTACTCATTTTCTTTCTATTTTTTAAAAAACAAAAATTATGTATTATAATTATTTATTTAATGACAAGAAAGTGGATCTCGGCCTTGTTCTTTCCCGCTTCTGGGCCTTTTAGTTGGGCTTCAAATGAAATGGGCCCATCAAAATAGCCCATATCCTCGACTATGGGCCAGCCCCACCAAGTTTATAAACCTCAAATTCAAAATGCATTTCTATATTGAAATATTATTATCTTAATAATAAGAGTATAATGTCAATTATAGTATAATTATTTTATTAAATTGAATTTGATGGTGATAGGTGGTGGAATTTTGAGTTATTCTAAAAATAAATAAATAAATAAATAAATAAATAAAGAGGGTGGTCATTATTACTACAATATAGGGTGGGAAGAATGTGAATAGAGAGGATGCAATAAAGGTAAAGAGGATGAAAATGATGAGCTATCACTCTCTATCTATCTATATGATTCACATCAACAAAATTCCTTAACTCATAATTGAAGCAATACCCAATATATTATCAATAAGTGCATTCAAGCATGCATTATAACTCTTTCTTTTTCTTTTATATATATATATATATATATATATGATAATGTTGCGAGAGTAAAAGAGAGGTACATGAATGAACTAAAATCATAATTGATTAAGAATGATCGTGAGAATAAGAGGATTAAAATATATTTTTTAAAAATTAATAATTACTTACTGTAATAGCCTGTATTAGCGATATGCAACTTATTTTTCAATCATAAGAACCTCACAGTTAAGTATGCTAATCTTGGGTGACCCACATTTCTTTCTTTCCCTAACATTGTCCCACGTAGAAAGAAAAGTGTGCATAGCTTCGAGCCGAGATGTGAGTCGCTAGACCACTATAATGGGGCACCCTCCCCTTAGTTTCCATCGATGTGAGATTTTTATATATATTTTTTATATTTGATGAGTGGTTTTTAAGAATTTTCTTATAAAACATGCAAGTGAGAACAAAATATGTTAAAATAATCTAAGATTGTCTGGAATATTTAAAAATATTTGGATGCATAACAAATTAATAGTAATAAATTAAGAACTCGAAAAAAATAATAATAAATTACGAAAATCATGATTTTTTTTTTTTTTTGAAGTATATAAATTGTAATGGGGAACACAATCAATTTCACAACATGTACAAATCATCATTATTCATGTTTTTTAAAACAAATAAACAAATATATATTATGAAAAAAAAAAAAAAAAAAAAAG